ACTGCCCACATGAATCCCAATTTCAGAGAGGGATGGGGGACCTGTATTTCCCTGCACTGTTTAACTTAAGAGCAGAGAACTTAAGAAAAGGCTCTGCCTTGTCTCAGGTGCAGCTTGTGCACTCTTTTTTGCTTTGAATGTGCCATGAAAGAGCAACGAAGACGCCCTCTCTGTCCTTTGTGCTCACTGAGAGTTTTCAGTTGTTCTGTGTAACTTGATGGAATAGTAATGGAAGAAAAGGTCTGACTTTTAGGTAGCACAGACATGTAACTAAGCTCATTCCTGAGTATGAAAAGGAAAAAAATATAAACATCAAATACATTATTATGTATATAGCAAGGATGGAGGGAATTCAATGATTTTTTAAAAATAACTCAAATCTTATTTTCATCATAGGTATTTCCTGTCTTTGCCACAGGAAACTGAGGCCCATAACCATTCCCAAGATCCCTATGCATTTGTCATTGTCTTTTTTGCCCCTACTGTTTGGTCTTCTCCGTGATGTTTTCTTCTTAATGTCAAAAATATTAATTTCTTAAATGTTTGAAAGCCAATGAGAATCATCCATCTCACATTTAAATCAAATTTTAAAATCTTTTTTCTGGGACTCAGTTGCCTTAAGTGTTTTATTTAAAGATAATTCTAATTTTAAATATGTCCCTTTCCCTATTAATCCCTGTTGCCTTTTGCAGTCCAATAGAAAGTATAGGTTTGTTTTGGCTTTCCTATTGGGTCCCAACATTGGTGTCATATGCAAGCATTTAAGTGCTCTTTCCCATTGTGCTAGTCAGTGGATAAGCTGCAGAGCCAATGGCCAGCTGCCATTCCACGAGTGAACATGAATATTCTAAGGAGAGCATCGTATTTACTCTCATTGACCCCTGGAGCCACCTGGTCTACATGGGATGCTTTCTTTTACTCCTTCAGTCTTTGGGATCTAAGACTACTATGTAGTGCCACTGTCCTAGAAATTACTATGCTGACCAGGCTGTCCTTGGACTTGCCCTTCAAGTTCCTCCCCCTTCAAGTTCCAGGATCAAAGGCAGCGCACCTTCCTCTTCTTCAGGCTAGACACAATCATTTGATCTTCCTTCAGGACAACATAAGATCAGAAAAGATTTCGCAGAATCTTAACGGACTTAACCTAATACTCTCCCCACCCCCGAGGGTCTTAGCAAACCTTTGACTTATATGAGACTGGATTAGCCAAACAGGACTCTTATTTCCAAAAGAGATCTGGTTGCTGTCCAATTGCTCACTTTTAATCAGCAGAAGTACATATACGCCATTTTGTTTGGCTCATACCTATATATGCACCAAAGTTCTGTTTTGACCATGTTGTTAGAATTATTTCCATCTACTCTTTGATGACCCCAGCGGGAAAGAACTTTTGCTGGCCTTTTTAAGGTCCCGTGTCTCTGCTACTGCTCTTTGTAACTGGATGAGGGGAGGGAAGTTCTAGATCTGATTGATTAGTAATGCGAGCTCGGGAAAGCCTAACTACTACCTGGCATTTGTGGTTTATAAAAACAGCTCATAAAATTGAGGTACGCCATGGCAAATTCCATAAAAATGATCATTGATGTGATTTTATTGCTCTGATCACAATGGAAACAAGTTCAAGAGGCTGGTAGAAAAGTATGACCTTTGTCCGTCAACATTTCCTTGTTCCCCAAACCTTGGTCTGTGAGATTTCCAACGTCTTCCCGCATCCCTCTGTGCCTCCTGGTCAGTCTGTTCAAACAACCGACAGGGCCTTACTCCCACTGTGTGTCCTAGGATAGCCTCAAACTCACAGCAACGCCTCTGCCTCAGCCTCCTAAGTCCTGAAATTACCAGGCCTGTGCCACCACACCCTGCTCCCACTTGTTATGTTTATCTCCTTATATTATTGGAGCTGATTCTGTTTAGGCAAGATTTAATTCTGAGGGCTGTGAGAGTCACACTATTCTTATTCCCGGCCATAGCTGAAAAGAGGATTCTATAAAGGAAAATATTAAGATTAAAGGGTATAATCTCAAAAGATTGAGTCCAAGAAATGATATCACCCATGTCAGTCCCTTGAGAGCAGGGCTTCTCAACCTTCCCAATGCTGCAACCCTTCAATACAGTTCCTCGTGTTGTGCTGACCCCCGACAATAAAATTACTTTCACCGCTATCTCATCACTGTCATTTTGATACTGTTATGAATCATAATGTAAATATTTGTGTTTTATGGTGGTCTTAGGTGACCCCTGTGAAAGGTTCATTGGACCTGGGTGGGGGGGTTGCAGCACACAGGTTGAGAACCACTGCATTAGAGGCTAGAGATATAGGAGATTGAAAAGAAGAGCTTGGGAAGACTGTTTGACATCATCATGGGTTTATAACATTTGACTGATTCTTTCTCCTAATATTCCTGAATAAATTAACTCTGACTTCGTTAATGGTGAGAGCTGATTTTAAATCCAACTCATCTTTTTGTTGATTCACCATATTATCTGCATTTACTTCTTTCCATTCCTGTACAAATTCACATGTCTGGGCTCCTGAGAAATGCATATAAGATGTAACTATAATGTCGAATTCCATGTGGCCTTCAGGGACATTGCTTTCCTCTTGGGTTGTCTTCTGTCTTCACTGGAAACATGCCACACATCCTGGAATCTGCCCAATCACATCTTCCTTTCATATGTCTAAGAACCAAGATACAAAGAGTGACAAAGTGTGTACCCTACCATGCTCATCTCTACTTTCTCTTACTGACAGCTTCTTGGCCACTTTGAGGGGCTCCACTCTAGGGAGGCTAATTGCTTAGTCTCAATATCCCATGTGCATTAGCGGCAGGTAGTCAGGTGTTACTTGCTATAAAAACTGATCACAACATCCCTGCTCATTCATAGAGGTGGACGCAGTGAGTCAGAAGACACTTAGCATTTCATTCTTTTTCGAATCTGATTGCCTCCATTTTTCTATTTCTCTTTTGAAAACCTTTTCATCCAAACAGGACATTCTCTAGACAACATATAGTATCATTTCCCTATAGACCATTAAAAAGAAATTTGAAAGGTATTGTGTGTACACAGATCTTCCTCCCAAGAAGTGCAGTGATGGTTTTTCTTTTTTTTTTAAATTTCATTTTACATTCCAACCACAGTTCTCCCTCCCACCCTGCTCGCCTCCCCTCAGCCAAGCCCCAGTCCACTCCTCCTCATTGGTAAGAGCTTCCATGAGGAGTCAACACAGTCTGACACAATAGGTTGGGGCAGGGCCAGGCCTCTCTCCCATGCACTAAGGCTGAGCATTGCATCCTTCCATAGGCAATGGGCTATAAGCTAGCTCATGTACCAGGTTTGCAGCAGTGATGTTTTCTTTGACCAGGGCACTCTCAGATTTTCAGATGTTGCTGATGGAGGCGCGCACACTCGCCTGTGTGTGTGTGTGTGTGTGTGTGTGTGTGTGTGTGTGTGTGTGTAAATGCAACTGTATTTTAACAGCTACATTTACTATGAAAACAGTCTGTCAAACTAGTGTCCTTGAAGCTCCTGAGTTAAACTTAGTGGATACTACAGACTCCCTTAGGGGAAAAAAAAAGGAATCCAGAGGTTACAAAACTATGAAAAATACCAGTCACAACCCCAAAACAAACTGGGTCAGAGTCTGCGCACTTCAGCTTTAATACTGTGTGATTCTGTGGCAGTGACTGTAAACTGGGCTCTCTTGTATGCTGATAGACAACTTAAGTTTTTCCCATCAAGATAGATACACTTTGATGAATAGAGTACAGAGTTCCAAGGCCACAGACTTGAGAGAAATTTTAATCTAGTTCTTACAATTGTACTATTGTCAAAGGTTTGCCAAGATAAAGCCTGCATTGTATTAAGGATTTCAATGCACCATTAGTTATTTGTGACCACATTTGCTGGGCTCTTTCCCTTGTAATACAATGGTCTTCAATAGTTGGTTATGTTCTGTCAACACTGTACCGTAGGTAGCAAGCAGCTCTGCAGTGTATATGATCCACCAGTGTCATTCATGACAATCTCTCTCCAGCAGTCTGTCAAACTGTCACAAGACTTGAGCTATAGCTTCAGATGCCAATGGCTGCCTTTCTTGGAACCACACTACCCAGAGAGGGTGGCTGGGAAACTTGAGAGGAAGGCAGCCTACCTCTCCTTGCATGCTTTTTCCTGTGTTCAGAGTCAACTGCTCTCTTAATTTGGAAGCAATGTAACATCATGAGGGGGTGAGATTAGCATTATATTTTTCTTGAGCATTAGTTCCTTTTAACACCATGTCCCCCATTAATGTAAGTCACACAGTGCATGCTTTCAAAAGACGATGTCTTTGAGAACTAAATCATGTCTATTTGTATCTCAAGTAATTCGCCAACTCAATATTTTGGCTGAGCAATCCAAGTCAAATTGTGGTCCAAGTAGCAGGCACTTCCATTGGATATACGAAGCCTTGACAAGCAATTAGTGATGAATATTTAATTGCTTTCATTACCCTTATGTGAGCAATGCAGATGGCATTTGGGACGTGGAAACCAGAGGTAAACTCCTCTGAGCTCTGTTTCTGGTCACCTGACTACAGGAATGCATTCTTTGGGACTTATGCCACCCCTATACCTCTACTGAATAAAAATGAAGCCGGCTTCCCAAATACAGAGCAGGTTGCTGATGGGAAATATCTGTATGTGTTTTGTGACTAGGGAAGCTTGTCTCCAATGATCTCTGCCTAGCTCCTCAGGCACACAAAACCCAAATGCCAAGACTTTCTATGGGTTTGAAAGAGTCAACGTTCCTTCCAAAGACCTGCTGATTAGTTTCCCTAATTGCCTTAGTATACCACGTTGAACATACAAAGGTGAATAAACCAATATCCCCTGTCTACGAGAAACCAACTTTATTATGTATGCCCCAAGGGGAGAAATGCCTTTGAGTAATTATAGTTTCAAAATTCTCATTTTAAATTTCTTTGTTTTTTTTGTTTTTTTTGTTTTTTGTTTTTTTTTAAGGAAAAAACAACACTGGAGAGTCTGACTCAGCAACTGGCAGTTAAACAGAATGAAGAAGGAAAATTTAGCCATGGAATGATGGATTTCAATATGAGTGGAGACTCAGACGGTTTGTGACGTTTACTCGTTCATAACCCAGAATGGAGGGGAAGAGGTGTACTTAGAGCAAAGCGAGTAGACAGGAAGGCCGTTGCCTCCCTGGCCATCATGGTGGGGCGGTCCCTGTGTGCCAAGCACTCCCCAGTCATTCTTGCTCTGCAGTGCCTGTCAGTGTCAGTGCCACTATAGACGGTTGACCCCAGCAGTGTGGAATCATTGCCCCGGCCGGGATCAGGGGATTGTCAGTGCCAAACGCAAGGCTTAGATCTAAGATGACCTAATTCCAAATACCCTCTCCCGGCAGCCCCCTGCCTCCTGCGTCCTTATTTCCTGCACTCCAAACTTTGTAGAACTGCGAGGCTATCAGCTCATTTTGCAGCTTGCATTTTCAGCTGAACATAGAGCAGAGAAGACAGGGTCTGGGCATTTTCCTTGCATTTGGAGCCTTCCCTGACATGCAGTCCTCACACTGACAGATACTAGTCTAACCCAGCATCTAGACCCTGCCTCACCAGCACTGTCTGGAGAACTCCACATTCCTCTCCTATATCTCACACTCAGGTCACTTCAAACATGGCAGCCAGCAGCCAGATACCCAGTTCAGCTGAGACAGCAAAGAGAGCGTGAGGAGGAATAGTTTCTCTATACAGGACCCCAGCAGGGTCTTTCCTCCAGGACCAGGTGATGTGTGCTTTAGAACTTTAGTGGCCTAGCCTTGCTGCAGGCTGGAAGAAGACTCAGCAAACCATGGAGAAGCAGAGTGCAGAGGTGGGAGTCCCTGAGACTCCTCAGCACGCACACTTCTCTACTCATCAAGGCCCTCACCAGCCAGGCAAGCATGAGCGTCTCACTTACTGCTCCCTTGAAACTGATCATGCGCCACTCGAGTACCAGAAAGACAAAATCTTGCAACCATTCCTGTTGGTGTCTCGCTACTGCACTGGGGAGAATAACCCTGGCTGACATACACACAGAGAGCCTGCTCAGGGTTGACAAAGCCCCACACTGCTGCTGCTCTCGTGGCTTCTGTTGCTGTAAGGTGTTAGGAACTGGAAGCGGCAGATGTGCCGGTCTGATCGTTCCCTGGTTACAAACCCATTTCAGAAAGATGATGCTGTGCGTCAGCACCACTGCTTGTCAGTCAAGAGGCCATTATTGGCTGTAACACATTCCATCCATTTTAAGTTATGCTCACATGATAAAATACCCTCTGGCACTGAGCGTTACAGCAGCAGAGCTCGTGTGGCCATTGTCTAATTGAGTGGTGTGCCCATATGAAAAGCAGCTTCCAGTCTACATCGAGCAAGGAACACGTAATGAATGAGCAAGCATGAACCATGTGACCCAGAGAGATGCTATTTTGCTGCTGTTGTTTTTTAATTTCCAACCCTATAGAGGCAATACTGATTGGTTGCTTACTGGTTCTACAGATTAAGGTATACAGATGAACAGGAGGGACTTTTAAAAGAAAGACATGATTATTTTCTTGGTGGCACAAAGCACCAGAAACTCCCAGATTCTAAGTTTTCTGCTGTTTTTCTTTTCTTTTAATAATGACAACAGTGAAGACTTAGCAACAGAGCTCCATGCTTCCTCAAGCCCCTTGTTCTCATCACCCAAACCTAAGCATCTTGGCTTCCAAGCTGTGAGCCACTCTGCCAGAGCTGCTTCATGAAGTCACATAAGGCCAGAGGAGGGAAAACACAGCTTCCTGTGTGACTCCTGGGGGTTGAGGGGCACCTTATCATCACTGACCCTTGATATCTAAAAACAACCGTCAATTGGTGTTTTGATAACATGCTAGGAGAAAACATTCAATGAAATAGATGGTTTTCCCCTACCTTAAACATGACAGAAAACTTAAGAATCAATAGTAACATACTAATTAATTGGTTGTTCTCTTGTGACTATCCATTGCCTTTTAGACTGTATATATGATGTATATGATTGAAAAGAATACCAACGACATTAAAAAGAGATCTTTATATTATTGTTCCAACCACAATTCTATCTAGCAGATTTTTACCAATGTGTCCTCAGAGACAAAAGGGAGGTACAAATACTTCATTTTCTCTCAGTGTTGGTGTAGCCTTTCCTAACCCAGCCTGCCACACCCCTGAGTGTCCCCTGGTTTTATCAGGTCCTTTACATCTGTAATATTTCTACAGTACTGATATACCCTAAGAGCCCAAAAAAGTAATATGTCCCCAGCTCTCTGTGAGCTCTTCAGGAAATGTTCAAACTGTCCATAGTCCATTGAAAACCCAAGAAGTAATGAGAACTGGGTTAAAAAAAAAAATCACATTTGCTGCCACAGGCTTATCACTGACACTTCATAAGCAAGCATCTGCCTGCAGGACTGGGAGCCCTGTTATCAGAAGGACGTTTTGTTTTCAGATATTTTAATAGACTGAGAAAACAGGCATCGGGGAGGAGTTCTGCCAGCTCTCAACACTGACATTAAGTGCTGATGTTCTTCCCTGTTTATAGGAAGCGCCGGAGTTTCAGAGTCAAGAATTTACAGGGAATCTAGGGGACGTGGGAGCAACGAGCCCCACATAAAGCGTCCGATGAATGCCTTCATGGTGTGGGCAAAAGATGAACGGAGGAAAATCCTTCAGGCTTTTCCTGACATGCACAATTCCAACATCAGCAAGATACTGGGTAAGGAGTGTGGAGGCCTGAGTGGATGTCTGTGATGTGTGGTACTCTCGTGCCAGGTGTGAAAGGCAGGCTGCTCCTGTTATCTGCTTTTTCAGCATATTAGCACCATCACTGAGGACCCCGTGAACAACACAGTATCCCGTGTTCAATGAGACAAGTGCCCCATTTGTAATCTTCCCTGAAGAGTGGTCATCCCCATGATTGTCAAAGTCCTCCCTACTTTCACCCAAGCCATTCCTAGTGATGACTGTTTCTTCATGGCCATTGTGAAGTGGTCATGCAGGTCTCATCCCACTCTTGTGCTCCTTAGTAGAAGCATGTAAAATTTTAGAGTTTAGTGTGCATGGTGTGGGGGGGGGGAGGAGAGGGGAGCTACAGGCTGGTTCATCAGAACATAGGATCTAGAATATCCACTCCTATACTATAGGGTCAGTAACCCTATGGACTAAAGGTGCTCTCGGTAACTCTGAGAGCCATGGCATCCTTCTGAGTTTAACTGAATAGAAGCTTGAGTTACCAGAAGACAGGGCAGAGGGAGGGAGGGACAGACAGAGGCAGGGGGGCACAGAATATAGAAAGAGTTACTGCAGACTGACTTAAGAGCTAACGGAAATGATGACCTTGTCATCACTATGTTACTGCCATCCTCGTCTTTATTTCCAAGGAGCATGATGCACTAGAACAGCAAGGTGGGTTTTACATCGCCCCCTCTCTAACAATCAGAGTTCAGAATGAAAGCATCAAGCTCTGACAGAAAAAAAGGAGGCCTTGAAAATAAGAAGCATTGAGTAAACTACTTAGGCTTTATTAAAATTGATGATGCTCTTGGAATTACATGGACATCATGAAGAAATCTCTGTGTGTGTGTTAAACAGCTGACTGCCTACTAGTGGTAACTAAATGTACTCTTCTGATTAATACCCCCGTGTTCTCAACAGAGGCAGTAGATGCCACTCAGTTCCCAAGGTGTACCTGCAATGCCATCAGAGCACATAAAAACACATGCACTTCAGTGTGTGTGTGTTAGCATTTTCTTCTAAAATAGTTTTCAGATGAATACACGGTTGTTGTTTGAAAGATTAGAACAAGTGGAGTTCAGTTGCAGAAACAGGGTTTGCATATTTGAAAACATAAACTTGTACAAAGTAACCTGCTTAAGTGATGAAGGGGAGCCAGCGTCTCTAATGAATGGCTCTGCCAAGGCTCATCCGTGTCTCCCTTTAACTCACTTCATCATGAATTTCCCAAACATTTTAAGGCAGTGCTTCCCTATGTAGTAGACCAAGCTGGCCTCGAACTCAGAGCTATGCTTGCCCCTCTCTCCCAAATGCTAGGATTAAAGGAGTGTACCTCTATGTCTGGAGCGATTCCTCAGCGTGGACATGCCACACCTGTTTCACCTGGAGTCACCTTGACAAAGGAGCTCAGTGCTAAATCCATCTCACTGGTTAAAACTTTAGATAGAAGAGCAGACAGTCTGGAGCAGTGTTGTGGTGGCTGGGGAGGTGGCTGGGTGGATAAGAACTCTTGCTGCCTGAGTTAGGTTTCAACACTCAAGAAAGGAGGTTCACAGCTGCCTGTAGCTTCAGAGTATCCAAAGCCTTCATCTGGTCTCCATGATCAACTGCACATGTGTAACACACACATCCTTAAAAGTGTTATTTTTGTTGTTTTGGGTTTTTTTTCTTTTTTTTTTCTTTTTTGAAACAGGCTTTCTCTGGATGGCCTGGAATTAGCTCTGTAGACCAGGCTGGCTTGGAACTCACAGAGATCTGCCTGCCTCTGCCCCTGAGTGCTGGTATTAAAGGCATTTGCCACCCTCGCCTGGCTTGTGTTTTTTTTTTTTTCTTTTTTAAGACAATAATTTTTCTAGGAAGTGTACCAAAGATTCTTTATGGTGCAACACTAACTGGCTAGGAGAATCTGTTAAGGTGAGAGTTGCCATATGATCTCTGACATTACAATCTACACTTAAGGTGGTTCCAGCCCAAGACTTACTGATAAAGTCATATTAATTAAACATATAGCATTTATAGTCACACAAAAATCAAACACCAAAGTGTTTGGGGCCTCAATATTTAGTTATAGCTTTGAATAAATACAAAATCTTCAAATAGCCACAAGATGGTTCTGAATGGCCTATTTCATATAAAAGTACAAAGAAGGCTTGATGTTTTTCTCTTTACTGATTGTTTTGGATAACAGCCTCCGACAGCATGCTGCTAATTCATTCTGCTTAAAACAGGCGCTTGAGCTGGGTTGACATTTTACGTAGTCTCTGGGGATCCTAGTTGACATTTTAAAGGGCTTCTAAGCATTTTATAATACCCTAAAATCTGGTTTTAATAAGCCATTCTGCTGAAATTGTTAACATACGGAATCACCTTTTACTGTTTGGCGCGAGATCAGGGACTGGGGGACATCTTTTTCTGATTAGATATACAGTAGTCGGAGTAAAATGTGCAAATTCATTACATGCCCCATGGAGATGACATAGCTGCTCAGCACAGGCTCTCCTCGTGTAGCATACTGCCAGACTCAGAAGTTGGAAAGAAAAAAAAGATGAAGGCTACTTATTTTCCCTTATTTTGAGCATCAAATATTTGTCGTTGTAACTTACTCTTTTGTTATGAGGAGGCATTCCCAATAGTCTATTCATTTTCATTGCAAACAGCCCACAGCAAGCTGCTTCCTCATTGTGCATGGCTGTGGGCACAAACCAAGTAGCTGTTTTCATCTCTTTGTGGGGAGGGGTTGGACCTACCACAGTGTCTTTGCCATGCGTGTAGTTATGGGATCTGCAGTCAACTGCTATTGTTGCCGGGAAGCCATGGACACCAAAACCAAGTTACCAATTGGCTGTCCTTACCCAGAGGAGATATTAAAGATGTAAAGTAGATCTGCCTCCAAACTGAGACTGCATGGACCTAAGGTGGGGTTGAGCAGCTATATCCATGTTGGCAAATACTCAAATAAGTATCATAATTCATAATTATGAATAAGTAAATCTGTAAGCTGAGAAGTGGGGGCACACAGGCTTGTAATCCCAGAATTTGGAATATTAGAGCAGGAAGACTGAGCTACCCAAAGAGACCCTGTCTCTAAAAGCAAAAGGTATTGGTATTTGTAATTATTATGTGGCCCTATTTTAGAATACTGCTTAAGTCTGGGTACTCTCAGGGGAAACTGTCAGAAGTTAAAGCAGGGAGTTCTAATTCTCAACCTACAACCTGCCATTGTGCAAGATAGGAAATGTAAAAATGACGGTCAAGCCAAGACAGATTACCTCCATCAGTGAGCATTTCCTTTCCTTAGCCAAGAGATATTTTAGAGGAAATCTTCAATAATCTAGCTGAATCACCTTATTTCTGTATTCAGTTTTTAGAGTAGAATCATAGACCCATGATTCTCATTGTATTTTTTCTTCCCAGTGGACTGTTTCTGGTAAACTGACCCTTATATGGGCTGGTCTGTGGTTTGAAATCTGGTCTACACCCTGGCAAGAAATGCCATGGAAAGAATTGATCTCATTCAACCGTATATTAATATTGTCTGTGTTTGTGATGACCCCGGAAACAGCATACTAATAGGAGAGGTCCATGAAAGCAGTGGGTTCTCAATCTGTGGGCCATGACCCTCTGGGGCTCACATGTCTGATAACCTGCATATCAGACATTCGAATTATTTTTCATAACAGTAGCAAAACTAGTTATGAAGTAGCAATGAGCTAATCTTACGGATGTGGACCCACACAGCACGAGGAACTGTATTAAAGGGTTGCAGCGTTAGGAACAAGCGGCAGGCGTCCGCTCTCTCCATCCACCATGTGAGTCAGGTTGGCTGACGAGCCATCACAGGACCCGAGATGACTCAAAGGACTTAAGCCGAGTTCTTACATGTGGTAACCCCCCACCCCCCATCCTTCTCCTAGTCTTAAGAACCTTCTTAAAGGAGTTAATTCTGAAGCACCATGAGTTTTACAGGTGTGGTTTCTGAAACAACCACATGATACTCGAACTTTTGTGATAAGCAATGTGCCCTCAACATAGAAATACTCCAAGACTCAGTGAGCTACAGATTCACAATACGTGTTGAATTCACATGGGGCTTTTTAGCAGTTTAACTGCATCGTATAAAATTCTTGGGCTTTTCAGTGCATAATAAGCAAGTTTAGTTAACTGTTCATTCAAGTCAAAAATAATGCATTGCCCAGTGCTCATGTCTTTGGGTGCATAATTTCCTTACAGACACCTCTGCTCTTGTGAAAAATCTCGCCTTTCAAGTTGATCTTGCTAATCAGAAACATGTTTATATAGTTCTGGATTTTGTCCAACATTTTTTTTCTCAATTTCTTTCTTGTTCTCCATGGCATCTCTCTCTCTCTATTTTAGGATTCTTAGAAGCACTGCAAATTGTGGCATCCTAACCTCCTTGTCTCCACAGGATCTCGCTGGAAAGCTATGACCAACCTAGAGAAACAGCCATATTATGAGGAGCAGGCCCGCCTCAGCAAACAGCACCTGGAGAAGTACCCGGATTATAAGTACAAGCCCAGGCCGAAGCGCACCTGCTTGGTGGATGGCAAGAAGCTGCGCATCGGGGAATACAAGGCCATCATGCGGAACCGGAGGCAGGAAATGAGACAGTACTTCAACGTCGGGTATGAGAACTTCCTTCCGGCCCTGCCCGTGCCACATGGTGCCAACTTCCTGTGGTCCGCAAGGGAACAGCCCCTTTGGCCGTTCAGTTGCAAAGCAACCGTTTGAAATGGAACCCACAGTCTTTTTTCCAAGATTATTTTGTATCTAGTATGTAGCCCTGAAAACATACATAGCATACGTACAGACAGATGTGTGTTTCTATGTTTGCATATGGGGGGGGCATCCACTGTGAGCTCCTTGCTCCCCTGTGAGTTTTATTCACAAGTTATTTGAAAGCGCAGTCCCTTCAATAATAAATAGAGTCTTGATGATGACTGCTACAAACTTAGAGGTACGGCTGGGTCTTGCGGTCTTGCCCGTTCTTCTCCCAGCTGGTGTTCTGACTTCCAGCACTTCACTGTGATAAATTTCACTACTGGCAGCTTATTCAAGATAACACAACTGAACAGTAGTTCCAAAAGAATCACTAGCTTCTGAGTAGTGTGGAGTCACACACACACACACACACACCACACATATACAACACATACACATGCTTTCTGTGTATGCGCCTTATACAGTAGATATTACATTTACGATGCAGCAAGGTCACAGACAGGAGAGTGCCATCATGAGTTTAGAACTCTGCCTCAAGGATGCTCTCTGCACGGTGATGCTATATATGCCGCCTACAGCCGCACTGCAGAATTCTCAAGATACACAGGGGGGAAATGTCACTCATGCTTGAAACAAGAAGATATAGAGAGCATAGATAGCAAAGACCACTCTGGGGATAGGCAGAAGGTGGCTGAATCATAAAAGGTAGCTGATCAGACCTGCCACACACCCTCCAGAGCCAGCATGCTCTGTGCAAGGCTCCAGGAGGCCACCTTTTCTGGAGCATATAGTAAGTAAATCTATCAATGAATGAAAGAAAGTAGGAAAATGAGCCCAGGTGAATGTCTAGGAAACCCAACCCACCAGTATCAGCTAAATTAATTTTTAAGGTCCACTGCAAAACCGAGAGTCCCATGTTAAAAGGTTTTAAATAGTGGGAGAGTAGGACTTGGAAGTAAGTCTGGGACTATAGGCAATTTCCAGGGCGGTATGTCTATGAGGCTGGCTTTGCCTGAGGTCCCCAAAGGACTCACACCATTTCACACACTAGGTAGATAACATTACTTGATCATACTTTGGGGACCATAACGTTATTCTGAAAGTTCTCAATAGCTTAAGAGATTTTTTTTTTCCATTTCACTGGAACTATCTCTAGGTTCCATTGTAGGAGAAACAAAAACTCCTTCCATCTGTCATAGTGAAGGCAAAGCGAACCAGGAGGCAAGCTCTTGGTTCTTGCTGAATCTTTCTGTGACAGATTTTTTTTTTTACCTAATAATAAAAAATCAGAATTATTTTAATTATCAAATGGCAATTCAGCTATATGCCTCCTAATCTATGAGGCACCATACAGTCAGGGGAGGCACTAGAATCCACACAGGATGTCATTGAAGCGTGATGGGTAAGCCGGATCCAGTTAGTGCTGAGCCAGAGGACAGCTGAGATCTCATGCATATGCTCACCTTCTTTTTCTGTGACAGGCAACAAGCACAGATTCCCATCGCCACTGCTGGAGTTGTGTACCCTGGAGCCATCGCCATGGCGGGAATGCCATCCCCTCACCTGCCCTCAGAGCACTCGAGTGTGTCCAGCAGCCCAGAGCCCGGGATGCCCTTGATCCAGAGCACTTACAGCGTGAAGGGAGAGGAACCTCACATCAAAGAGGAGATCCAGGCAGAGGACATCAACGGAGAGATTTACGACGAGTATGACGAGGAAGAGGATGACCCAGATGTAGATTATGGGAGTGACAGCGAAAACCATATTGCAGGACAAGCCAACTGATAAGGGCCAACAGACTGTGGTGTGGTGAGCTGAGGACTTAAAGAAGCCCTAGCTGGTCCATCCTTACCAGTGGCCAAGCACATTAACTTTCTCATACACTGACTGTTATTTTAACTGTTAGTCTTAAATAGTTGGGACGTCAGCTGACAAATAGACCTCAGCCTCAAAAGGCTCGGAAAGGAAACAATTTCCAAGCAGACAACATCAACAAGAGATTGAAATAAGCTATGGGTAAAACAAAGCCAGTAACTCAGCTGCTAGACCCCAGCACTGAAGTCTCACCCGTCAACTTTTTTTTTTTTTTAATAAACTTTATGGCTGTTTGTTCTATAACTAGAAATTCTCACTCAGGTACACAGTGCCAACAAGTGGCTTGTGAATGTGTTTTGTTGTTTTGTGCTACAATTTTTAAAAAAGAAATAAGTTTTGTTTTGTTTTGTTTGGGGGGGATGGTTCTGGGTTTTTCTTTTACCTTCTTTCTCTTTTTTTTTTTTTTTTAATCCTTTGTGATTGTTGTCTTGCACCTGACAGAAAGAGGGAGATGGGCACTTGGGTCCCTCTGCCCTTTCTCTCTTCTGCTTTAAAGATGGGGTCCCGTGTGTGAGGGTGGGGGGGAGAGAGGAAAAAGAGAGCCTGTTTTTGCCTTCCTTGGTTCTATACCACACAATCAGCAATCATTTCCTTTAGAGACCTCTTACTCTTGCACACAACACTACATCTTTAAGCAAGTGCCAAATCCATACTGAAGCGATCACCAAGTTCATTTTCTACCCCTTCCTTACTCCTGCTCCTTCTTAAGTTGGGACAGTGTTAAACCTTGGACAGTCCCTGGAAAGAGCTGATACACCAGCAACTGGTGAGATTGATTTTTTTGTAATGGAAACTGTAGGTGCCGTTCTCAGGTGAAAAGAGAGAGAGAGAGAGACATAGAAATTTAGAGGAAAAATATTTTCTGATCTTGGATTTCTGTGTGTGTATGTGTGTGATTATGGTACATTAGATACATTCCTATTAGGGAATAATGTTGGGCCATTGAAAGCAAAACCCACATGTGGGAACGGAATCCCACCTCTCCTAAGCAAGTGGTCTAGAATAGCAACCTTGACCTTGACCTTGACCTTGACTTTGCACTTCTAGTGACAATGGAACTAAACGTAGGGCTCAGAAATTCTATTTTTCAGTGTCAAGAATGTTTCTTATTGGGTGGACCTGGTGGCCCTGTGTCATGGACATGTGCTTGGCAAACATGGAAGCTACCAACCAAATGCTTCCTGAGGTCCCTTTCTTCCTGGACAATTTGCTTCTTCTAATGTTTGCTACTTAGTGGTGTGTGTGTGTGTGTGTGTGTGTGTGTGTGTGTTTCCTGTTGAAACTTTGAGTAAAACAATCATTGTTTTGACTGAATATATTTGGCCATTTTTCAGAGATACAGAATTAGGGTGTGTCTCCCCCATTCCATCTTTTCCCAATTGGGAAACAGAACTGGTAGTTCTGTAGGATTTTCGTTTCATCTCTCCATGCAATGAGGTCAGAGGCTGCATTTCACAAACGGGGGCCATGTGTATGCCCTTCCATAAGAACTAGGATTTGGTTACAGTTCACTGTAGCACACAAAGGGGAGGCTGGCCGAGCACAGACCCTTACTACTGTATGGTCCTTCACGGTAATTTGAGTCTGCTAAAGATCAATTGCTCCTGCCAGCAGACTCCTTGCTGGGACTAACAGCCAATGGTGACAGGACTCGTGATACAGATGTCACCAACCAAAGGGCCAAGGCAGGGGTGGGGCCTGGAGAAACAAACACAGAGTCACTTCAGGTCACTCACCATGGTTAGTGTTTAGTATCAGTCAGTCAGCACTGTAGCCAGTGGCCTGGATGGATATGTTACACTGTAGCCAGTGGCCTGGAAATGTTACAGTATTCAATCCCTTTTTCAAATTGCCCCACCAAACACTGCCCTTAAGTTTGATTTTCCCCCCCGGCACAACTAAGCAAAAACAACAAAAAAAAGTAAAGAAGAAAAATCCTTTTTGTTTTTCTCTCTCTCAAAAGTCTTGCTCTGGGGTTTTGCTTGGAGGAGCTGATCATACCTGCATGTCAGAGGTTTGGTTCTGTTTTCTGTTTGTGGTTTGTTTGTTGTTTTTATTTTTTTAATGACTGTATTTTCCTTTGAATTGCCTCTTTTTGCTAGTGTTGTAAAATGATGATAAAATAATAATAATAATAATAATAGTAATAATAATAATAATAATAACAGTCAGCTGTTCCCAGATTAGTAAATTATGTATAATTTATTTTATTTCTCCCTTTCTATTTTATTCTGCTCTGATTTGGAAGTACAGCCAGTAAGCTGTTAGGTATTTAAAGCTAATTTCTCTTTCCAGCTCTTACACACATGTACACACATACATGTATGTGTGCATATGATACACATATACTCATCCACACACTTGCTTCTCCATCCATAACTTCCTCTGTGTTAACAGTCTTGGCCCCGGTAGTGTCAGTTCTGGTGTTTAATATGAAGGGGTGAATTAGTAGGAGGGTTGTGTTCAATCTTAATTAACTTATGTTCTTTTCTCTCATTTTAGTTATTTAATTACCAATTATCTAGAGCCAATTTTTTGTTTTTGTTTATTTTGTTTTGAAGCACTCTGAATAAGAGAAAAAAATAGACACTTGTTTTTATACCATTATAACATACAATGTGAAAACAGATTTATTAAAAAAAAAATGTTTCTCTGTGTCTGTTAACAAACCCTCCTGACTGATGTGGGTTTTCCATTTAAGTGTGCTGGGTTCTGATCTCACAGCACATTCTAGACAAGCCTGCTTTTCCTTTCTTGACCTTGGGCAACAAGAATACTTTGTTTTAGCTCCAGGTAGATGCTACTGAAGGCATCCATGGCCAAAACCCATTCCGACACAGTGCTATCTGAGCAGGCTCTCTCTTTGGTCGGCATTTGTTTTATTTGAAGGGAAACAAATTGTTCATGGTGACTTGTAGCAGCCGAAACTCTCCAGTTTAGTTGAGTTTTATGTCTATGATTGAACTGTGCCCAGAGAAAACCACAAAGCAAGTCCATAATATGTCCTGTCATAGTCTGTCCTGACATTTTCTTCAGTGGATGTTGAGTTTGCTTTGCCCAAGAGTTTTCCCTGGGGGACAACAAAAATAAAGGTAATTCTATTCATGTCTAAAGTGCACTGAAGTCACTTAGGGGAAAAAAAAAAGGTGCTTTTAATAGCAACTGTGTTAACACTTTGCCCTTTGGGCCCTTGATTGGATGATGATTTTTGTAAAGGATCCTAAAACCTTATATTCTTTTGTGTGCCACACAATGACCAAATAAGATACGGTAGAGGAAATAAGACACAACAAAAAGATCAAAGGTAGCAAACTGAATACCACCTTCCTCTCCCCTGCCTATCTGATCAAGCCACGCCCCCACCCTCCTTCCTTTCCCCTGCCTGTCTGTTCAAGCCACGCCCCCACCTCCTTCCTCTCTGGTCTGTTCAAGCCACACCCCTTCTCCCCTCATCATCCCTGCCTTTATAACACCACCGAAAAATAATACTGCCAGTTTCTCCCTTTTATATTTGTAATTGGTACCTCTTAAAATAGTCCAGTTTGATATAAATCTAAGAAAAATATTCACCAGAAAAGAAGTGGGTTAAGGTTGTTAGTAAGTTAATGATAATTTGGTTAGTTACTACAATCAGGAGAAACACACACACACACTAGTGTATTTTTGCTCAGATTAATCAAATGAACTTTAAAAGTTCATTTGGTATCTAGCTAAGAATTACCTTTGTGTAAAACACCTCCCAATAAACATAGTTATCATGGTTGAAGCCAAATTTTCCCATAGGGAATGAATATTAAGGTGTAAAGTGTTGTTTAATGAGGTCACTTCATATATTTGATTTCTGAAGTACAGTCACCTTAGTTCACATAAAGGAAGTTATCTCTACCATTTTATGGCCCCTCTCTAGATATTTTCTTAATGCACAAGCTGATACTGTTCTCAGAGGAATCCTCTTCTATCTCATTTAAAAACATAAGAAAGAATTAGACTTTCCTTACTCTAAAGGGTAAATTATTGAATTGTAATAACTGTATATTTACAAACAGGTTTATAAAATATTTGTCTATCAAGTTAATAGTGAAGTAAAACTTTAGGAGGTCTGAAAGAAAAAAAAAAAACCACAAAACCCACTTAAAGTGGCTGAGCTCTCTCTGTCTTGTAGGGCACAGGCATTTATTTAGCCAGGTTTATACAGTATTTAATTTTGAAGTTCTGCAGGTTCAAGGTGATGCGTGTTTAGTTTCCTACTGACGGCCCCCCGTCTGCCCCAGTGTGTCTGTCGCTGGTCCACTAAGACAGTATTTATTCAGCTCCCCTGGCTCGAACGCACTTAGTCTTTCTAACAGTTTGAATTTCACAAGTGAAAAGGTTTTGTTTGTTTGTTTGTTTTTTTAAATGATTAAAAAATAGAAAAGAGACAATCAATGCCTGGACTTAAAACAAAGTATGTGCAAACCACCATCTCACTTGAAATTTAATAAAGTAAAAAATTGTGTAAATATAACATAGAGTTATAGATTTCTATTTTGTTCATAACACATAGTGTAATATAAGTTGTATATTTTCATGTTTTTGGTTTTATGTTATCATTCATGCCACAATAAGAATAAAACAGGAGTTTGTGTACTCTTGGGGAAAAAAAAAACAAAAAAACAAAAACAAGATGTGGGCTCCCAGCAACCTGTTTTTTGCTTTTCTGTTTTTGTTTTCTTTTCCTTTTGTTTTGTTTTGTTTTGCATTCCCTTTTTCAGTATTACTGCCGTGCAAGGCACCAATAAAAACAGCAAATGTGTTCTTTATGATTAGACTGTCTTTCTCTGCACGATTTGTTGATGAAAGGTTAACTGTTCGTTTATGAGAAAAAGAGAAGTCTGGGGAAGCTGCCTCCTTCTCTCTAAACATCATGACACTGCCTGACTTTGAACTGAGAACTAAGGGTGTCAGGCTTAAATGTGGACATTCCTAAAACAGGACTCAGGCAGGAATCCACCCCAAGTCCACGCCTGAGTCACTGACTCAGAGACAACAGTTTCCATGTCTTCAGGCACACTTTACTGGATAAGGGTTGCTATTCTCACACCCCACAGTTACACTCTATCCCGCTGCATGAGTGGCAAGTTTCCTAATGTCAGCTCACACAAAGCTAAGTAGCAGGAACTATTTTTACCTGTGTGAGGTACAGTTTTAATTGTAGCAACTTCTAAGTTGATCAGAACACACCTTAGCCTGCTGAGTCAGTTATCCATTTTTAAAACTGTGTTTAAAAACACAAGTCTTTTTTAAAGGGCCAGTTTTTCTCCCAACATTGTGTGTTTTCTCTCTTGATAGTTCTGTGTGTCACAATTTTCTCAGAGGGTTTCTGAGTCACTGACTGGTTTGGAGTTTTTGCTTGTAAGCAACATCGCCTAACTGAGATAAAACCTACTGTGAACACTGGTAAAACATACATGGAGCAGTCACTGCTCTGCAATTTGTCACTAAAAGGAGCATGCTACAAAGGCTGACCCATGGAACTGAGAATTAGCTTTTAGAAATGCCAAGTTCTGGGCCCAATCTAAGATATCAACCAAGATATTAACCAAGCTGCTGGCCAGGGCTCAGCTCCAAATACTTGTGTAAGCACTGAAAGCTCCAAACTACCTATTTTGTTGGGTAAAGGGGCTGTCTTCCTCCACTGCCCCTACTTCTGTTTTGCACATGGAATCTGGCAGTTACTGTTGTTGACCATGTTTCCACATGGACCTTAGGCCTCTGCAGAATATTTGACACTTCAGGTAGAGAACACTCACAGTCTCTCTTTAATGAGTGGCTTTGAGGACATTGGAGCCATCACTATAGCAATAACCATTTGGTCAGCATCTAGGAATTCACTTAGCCACAGGCTTCAGAGACCCAGACATGGGGGCATCAAAAACATCATAGAAATGCATAAAGCACAACTACATGAGGTTTGTAAAAAACAAAAAAATGTTCTGAACAGAAAACATCCATTGTAGGATTCGTGAAGTAGATGTTGGGACAAGCTGAACATCTAAGGCTGTGTTGGATACACCCTCAGACACTCTGGAAGCAGCTCTATCAGATTTTGAGTGGGGAAAATCTGAGCTGTCAAGGAAAACTCAGTCCTTGATCTCTATCAAATAAAGCTCCCTTAGCTGCAACTACAGTATTTCAGTTTAGAGACCCCACTGCTATGTTCTTCATAGCTTATGATATTTGAGTTAGAGACTCTTTCCCCTTGTTGCCAAAGACTTGAGCAATCACAAGAGTCTCAGCCACCAAGGAGGCATTTCCCATTTCTCTAACTTGGATACTCTCAGTCTACCACTTTCACTTATTTATTTATTTATTTATTTTTGTTGTAAAGATGCTGTCATTGTTGCCAGTTTTATTCTTTTAAGTATGCTTTCTCTAACTTCACAATGCTACTGCAACCTGCTACAGCAGTAGAGGCCAAGGCACACAGAAAACAGCCCTATGTCTCATGTCTAGATGGATTGTTGATGAAAAATACAGTTTTGAAGGTTTAAAAAGGAATCTAAAAGCTAATGGGGCAACCTGCTTTATAAGCATCATAATTATGCAAATAATATGGCTGGGAGTTCTGTAAAATAGTAGATTTTCTTATGAACACCTGTCCTCCAATGTGTTACTCTATCAATTTGCTTAGCAAGCTATTTTTGCCACTAAAAATGAACTAATTCAACTCTTGATCATAGGTTTCATTATTTTTTCAATCAGGTCCAAATACACAAAGTTTTACAGACCCAAATACCAGTATTTACACATGCAAGCAATCATGGCCTAGAATGGTCCTTCCATGATATTCAATATACAGCCAAGAGAACATGCACTAATACATCATCACCATGTTCAGGACACATTCCAGTTAAAGGGAAACACAATACATTAAACTAGCAGAAAAGTTGTAGGAATTAATAGGCCCAAGTACATACATATATTTTGTACACTGCCTGCTCAATTTACTATTAAATTTCAGGATCTGGGAAGCAATCCTAATTACACACAAACTGTTAAACATATTTTAAATAAAGTCCTTGTTTATAAAAGTCAGTGTTGGAATTTTTAAATATATATTTTATATTTATAATAAATGCATACTATCCTGCTAGAAGGCAGTGTGTGGGGCTAAGCTGGGGCATAGAACAGATTTTGAAAGGCCACCCAGACAACTTGCTGGGAATGGCTGTCAGCCTTCATCTTACCATGTCCCAAACCAACACAACATAGTTTCATGAACTTATCTACCACCTGTGCTGGCAGACCCAAATAACAACACAAATTGTCCTGTTTTATTAGAGATGATCCTGTAAGTAGCCCTTTCCCCTAGCAGGTTAGTATACAGGACTGCAGTTAACCATTTGGAGATACCCGAAGAGGTGTTTACTGATGTCTGAAAACTGAAATCTTTGGTAGTGTTTAGGTATAAACAGCACATATTTTTGAAGAGAAAATTTCATGTTCTCTTCATTAAGAAATTATTGATTTCTCAGCCCACATGTCACACAACTCTATAAGCTTTTAAAGTTATCATCAAAGACATCCTAAATTCATATTTGTTTTTGTCATATGAAAACTTTTAAAAGTTCCCTTAACTTTTCAAGTATTTCAAGATTATTTTGCAAACTGAAAAAAAAACATTAACAACTTTTATGTACTTTCAGGGTAATTTGTAACTCACAAAGGTAGAGTTTATATCATTGAAAGGTATGTAGACCTATATCTAAATAAGTCCAAGGGAAATGAATGCTAAGAAAAAGAGAATTTAAGGGACGTTGTATAGTTTCTGCATGAGTACTTGTCAACTGTTTTGGTAAAGATGTTAACCTGGTCTGTCTGTCTATCTGGAATAAAAGCTAAACTCTTGCCAAAGTCCCTGAGCCACTTGGACCCAGGTCATCAGATGAGTTGGATGATCTGCCATCTGTCCCTCATGCTGTGATAAAATGCCATGGCAAAAACTCACAGCCCTCGGTCCTTCATCACAGAAAATACAAAGACTTGATGCAGCATTGATCAACAGTATTCAGCTCAGGGTCCCAACCTCCATGGAATTCAGAATCCCCATGTTAGGGAATGAGGCAGCCCACAGTGGGCCAGCCTCCCACCTCCATCAGGGCAGCAAGGTAACCCCTCCCAGACATGATCACAGGCCAATCCAATAGAGCTAATTTCTCATTGTGACTTAATAACCACCACATACCTTTTCCTCCATTTTCAAAATGTGTTCTGACTCAACCAAGTACAGAATTGCCTGTGTACTTTTACATGTGATAAAGAAATACACAGAGGAAAGATTAGAGTCATTAAAAAGGACACGTGTAACACTATATACACGCATATTTGTATGTGTGTGCGTGTACACACACAGCGTAAACTTAGAAACTCTAATAGTTAGGCAGATGCAGCTCTTATTTTCAAAGTAGTCTGGGCAAACAAGATATCCAGGATTAGAACACTCTTATTGCTTAATTGAAAGAGCCTTGCAAGTTTATGATGAGAAACAATTCTCTCATTGTCCTAAATTCGAAGATTGATTTCACACTTAAGGGCTCACAAACAAAGCGGAGAGCCACTTTTTCTGTAAACAGATTGACACGAGCTGCAGATGTGATCCCTGCCTGCTCACTCTTCCAGTCCTCGTGCAGAGTTTTATAAAGACGATCTGCAGGGGGTCTGGATAGAGATGGTACACATATGAATAGATAACAGGATATATGGATTAGACAGGGATTTTCAAGGATAAAGCTAGAAGAAATGCGTTATGATGAATATTTATCGTGTCCCATAGAATAGCTTTTCCAGCTATCGGATGGTTCAAAATTGGCTTTTAATTAATGTTCATTATGAGGAGTCTGTACAACAGAGAAGACTATTCCTTCACTCCAAATGCGTAATTTGCAAGGAAATAAGATCAACAGACATTAAGCAACATTAAGCAAAATGCAAGAAACTTATTAATGAACTAGAATTGTAGGTGATAAAGGATTTCAAATGAAAATTAGAATTATTTCAACTGTTGACCGAGGCTTCTCCTTTCAAAGAGCACATAATAGGCATTGGAAAGCTAATCTCCTACTAGAACTAGAGAAAGCTGAAAAATTAAGTCTTTTAAATTTTGTTTTGTTTCGTGTGTGAGATTAGGTTTTGTTACAGAGCGATTGATTGCCGGGGACATATAGAATTGTCAGTTCTACATGTGGTTGCTACCACAGTGTGCTACCAAAGCCTCATCCTCAAAACTGTATTTTAAAAGACAGTGGGGAACTTAGGAAGACATGCAGGGTAGATGAACCATAAATCCAGGAAAGCAAAAAAAAAAAAAAAATCCAGGGTAAATCTGATGATCACTGACATTGGTATTTAGAAAAGGCATAAAACAAAATGTGATCTTTGCCATTATCACTAGGTAACCACTCAAACCAGAAAAAATGGTAGGAAAAAGAACACATGGGACCACACACTGCACACTTCCATGCCAGCACAGTCACTGTGCACATCTAAAGAGACAAGTTGGATAGACCATAAATGCAAGCCTAGGTTTCCCAATGGCCTATTTGATGAATCTGTGGGCTGTGGGGAATTTAACAGGATGTTTATGGCATTGCTTCTAAAAGAAATATTGAAACCTGCCACCATCATTCAGTGCTCAGAATCAAAGTGGAGTCAGGGAGATGGGAACTGCCTTAAACACATAGCCAGCCCCACTCCAAGCTCCCCTGGTTGTGTCTTCAAAGAAAAGATGCCAGTGAGATGTGGCAGGAAACTTGAACAGGCTGATTTA